TATATATATATATATATATATATATATATATATATATATTATTCTTATGTCTCGTGAAGTAGCATTAATGAAATGCTCTCTGCTGGCTGCTATGACGCTTCTTTCTCCGAGTTTCTGTTTTCTGACTTCCTTGCCAAAGGTGATCAGTGTGTTGTTGCTGTAAAAGATACAGATAATGCTGGGAGTAAACAGAGCCAATTACAAGTACGTAAATGATCTAATTCTCCTCCCGGAGTATAAATTCAGCTAAGTAGACAGATTAAGAGCCTTCAGAGGTTGGCTGTAATCTTGCCAAAATTGTTCCAGGACTGTTCCAGGACTGATAAATGAAGTTGGAAAAGAATGGGCTTTCATCTTTTCTTTTCTTTTCCCCCTACGCCTCCTGGATGGCTCTTTCAAAATATAATTAGTGAATCAAACAGAGAGAGAGATGCGTGAAAAAAAAATAGGGAATTTTCATGTAGCTTCATTGATATCTAACACAGTCAATGACATTTCTATGGTTTTAGTGGCTTTAAGATTCCTTCCTTCCTTCCTTCCTTCCTTCCTTCCTTCCTCTCTCTCTTCCATGTACTCTTCTCTCTCCTTCCTTCCTTGTCCTTCCTTCCTTCTCTTCCTTCCTTCCACTCTCTCTCCCCTCTACTCTTCTCTCTCCTTCTTTCCTTGTCCTTCCTTCCTTCCATGTCCTTCCTTCCTTCCTTCCTTCCTTCCTTCCCACATAATACCTCATATCAACAATTGTTGATAAGAAAGGCAAAAAACTCTGGAGAATGGACTCGGCAGTACTTGGAGACAGCAAAACAGAAGAGAAACAACTGGAGAAAATCCCCAAATATAAAGTCTTGCAAATAGAAGTATAATGAACGTGGCAAAAGAAAGCAAAGATAGTGCCAAAAATAATAAATAGTGCCTTGGTTCAATCCCAAAACATCTGGAACACCACTTGAACTTCCATCGGCATTGACACCCCCCCCCCACCAGTCAATTGCAAAAGGCAGCTTGACTTGGAACAGCTTACATCCTGCAACGGTATCTTTTCACGCTATCAAAGAACAGGTCCTTGGGGAAGGACTGAAGAGGTGGATAAAAATGCCAAATCAAGTCTGAACATCTGTCTGACTGCGCGACCAACCGTCATGATACCCAGTGCTGATTTCTGTCTCCCGGCTGTGCAAGACAACTGTCAAGTGTGGAGACAGGCACCTGCCTGCGCCCACTTGCCTTTCAGATCAGAGCTTCTCAGTGGGGCAAGCGAGGGGCTGAGCACCCAAGAGACCTTTTCATTTTATGACAGGGCACCCCAGGAGTCTGACATACGACAGCCAAGAGGCCTAAATCGGAGGCAAGAAGCTGAGAATGTTTGTGTAATCGGAACCTCCACTTCCACAACTGCGTAGGGGTCTTTTGGCAGCTTTCAAGCAGGGGCCTGTAACAAGCAAGAGAGACGGCTGCCTTTGAACTCAGTGGGGAACTGGGGGCTTTACCGTTAACTGCTGTAGGGAATTGGTTTCAAGTCAGCAGATCAAGGAGGTATTTCAGGCCTTCCATCCTGCCAGAGCTATTTGGAAGTGTTTATTTTCCTTGAGTGCAACAGCTTTTCTTTTAATTGCCCCCATGCCTTCCTTCGCTCCCCTTGACTCCGATTCACGCGAGTTCCACAGAAGGAAGGTGAAGGTCCTGTAAAGTTTGAGGTGAGGCCTCTGGAGTGAGACAAGCCAGGTGTGCAAACAGTTGTTCCTTCTTAGAAAACTCAAGGCTGAACTGGAGTGTCTCTAGTTTAACTCTTACCTTAGCCAGGTAAGAAAACCAGGCGTCCTTTCAGGAACTACAGCCAAGTCCTCAACCTAAGGTAAAGCTTCCCCTCGCACATATGTGCTAGTTGTTCCCGACTCTAGGGGACAGTGCTCATCTCCGTTTCAAAGCCGAAGAGCCAGCGCTGTCTGAAGACGTCTCCGTGGTCATGTGGCTGGCATGACTCAACGCCGATGGCGCACAGAACACTGTTCCCTTCCCACCAAAGGTGGTCCCTATTTTTCTACTTGCATTTTTGATGTGCTTTCGAACTGCTAGGTTGGCAGAAGCTGGGACAAGGAACGGGAGCTCACTCGGCGCTAGGGATTCGAACCACCGAGCTGCCGACCTTTCTGATCGACAAGCTCAGGGTCTTAGCCACTGAGCCACCTTACAACAGCTTATTTAGTGGCCATTCAAAGTGACCACGGCAGTGGAAAAAGTGACTTATTTCACACTTACGACTTACGTTGCAGTTCACGTGATCAAAATCCAGGAGGAGAACCACCACTCCTTAGCACATCCACCTCCTCTTCTTCTCCATAGGTAGTCCAGGAGGACACCAAAGTTGATGGTGCCAAAAGCCTCTGAGGGTCTTAAGGGAAAGAAGGATTGTCACACCATACCAGTCGTTGGCTCCCCCAATAGTCATCAACATGCATGGCCACGGTTGACTCTTGTATAGTTTTTAAGGACAGCTGTAACGAAAGGGTCTAGATCAGAGGTTCTCAGCCTGTGGTCAGATGAACAGATTAACCGAGTTGGAAGAGACCTTGTAGGTCATCTAGTCCAACCCCCCTCCCACCCAAGCAGGAGACCCTATGCCATTTCTGACAGGTGGCAGTCCAGTCTCCTCTTGAAAGCTTCCAGTGATGAAGCTCCCAAGGTCATGGATCCCCCAAGGGACACAATATCACAGGGAGCCTGTGAATCGTTTGTTGAGTGTTTTAAATCTTGAGTTAAGACTTGGAGGGGGGTCCTCGGCCATGGTCTATGGCCCATGTCCACAAAAGTTATTCCATGGTGGGAAAAAAGGTTGAGAACCACTGATCTAAATTATCTGTTCCTCAGAGGGTCTTTTGAAGCTCTAGCCTAACCACTTTCTCAACAATGTCTGCTAATAAAAGGAACGTTAAGAGATTTTTTCCCCTTGGGAAAAGCATCCTCCAACATAAAAGCATGTTTTATACAATGACCAGCATTTTGTTAGTCCGACACACATGTTTGTGTGTTCCTTAGGAATTGCAGTGTGACGTGTCTGTTGAGGAAGACAATAGGCAAGAATGGACCTTCACTCTCTACGATTTCGACAACAATGGCAGAGTTACCCGTGAGGTAAGTCAAGTTACACCCCTAAACAGCAACGGATAAAAACAAGAAAATTGAGAAAAGGTAAATTATACATGTCATAAATCAATATATTTCTAGGTCAGGAGAGCATGAATGTTACATGTTGATTGTCTTGTAGGGCTCCTGAGTCATTTTCTGTGGTTTTTTTTTTTTTTTGAGATAAATCCGTGCAGTTCACTCATTCTTTATGGCAGCGGTCCCCAAATTTGGCAATTTTAAGACTGGTGGACTTCAACTCCCAGGATTCCTCCTCCAGAAGTTTGGAAACCTGGGCCCTCATTTTACCCACCTCAGAAGGATGAAAGGCTGAGTCAACCTTCAGCCTGGTGAGATTTGAACTGCCAAATTGCAGGCAGCTGGCAGTCAGCAGAAGTAGCCTGCAGTACTCTAACCACTGTGCCACCGTGGCTGATTATTATCTTCTTTATTCCCCCCTTTTATTGGTATTATGATTATTACTCTGTTGCTTTGCTCGTACACTGCACCAGAGCTTCTGCACCAGAGACAAATTCCTGGTGCTTCTAATCATACTTGGCCATATAAGGTATTCCCTTCAATTCAAGATATGCCATCTTTTTAACGGTTCTGCTTTTAGAATACCAAAAAAAATTTTCTTTTGCACTTGGCACTGTTTGATGTCAAGGATTAGCGCTGTGCAATGCTTGTCTGCGTGTTTAAGGAACATTTTAAAAGTGTGAATTTGGAAAGCGTTGACCATCGGAGACAAATGATTCTTTAAACAGAGTGTCGAGAGAACGTCCTTTGCAAATATGAAATGCTTTCTGGCTCTTCCAATTGCTGTCAGAACAGAGTCAATAAAACAGCAAAAGCCTTTTCAGCTGGACCGATAATCATTTATCGCAAGGAGAAGGGATCTAAGATGCAAAGAGCAATAAGACTTTGCAAAGCATTAAGATTTTGCTGAAACTCATGTGCTATTATAGATTTAGAAGTGATATGTCCACCCCCTGTAAAAGGCATCAATTTTTCAGGCTAAGATTTGGAGCGTTGCTTAGTATTTCCGGGTTCTTCCATCAGCTTACTTAACATGAGAAGTAACAAATACACGGAGTCTACTCCTGGAGTTGTCTCTCTTGTACCTCCTTGTCCGTAGGGTGTTGCGTTTGGGTAGTGTGTTATACCGGCAATTTGTGTGTCTAGATTCGCACGGTGACAAGGTGAGAAACGCAGAATTCCTGTGGATTCAGCAGGGCCCCGGGACGAAGGGAAATTTTTCCTTCGCTAGAAAAAAAGCAGCAGAGCTTAGGCAAGTGTGAAGTGTTGGTTATTTCTGATGTGGTGAATTAGAGAACAAATTGGCATTTCAGAGGGAACCGAGTTGCCCGTGGGTTGTTACAGAGGCTGAGTGTTGTTCTTTGTGAATAACTTAGTGGATGCCCTATAGCTTTAAGGCCTTTCTTGAGGAGGTTTGTGTTAATCGAGCTTCTGAAAGGTGAATAGAGATAGCAAGAGGGTGTAAAAGAATGGGGGGCAAAAAAGAATATCGAAAGAGAATTCCTGCTTCAAGCACTAATAGGCTCATTTCTGCTTTCTCCCCCCAAATATATTCAGGATTTATTTTATTTTATTTTTATGGGTTTAAGCTATCAAAATGCTTTGGATATGATAGAGAGAGAGAGAGAGTGGGAGAGAGAGAGAGAGAGAGAAAGAGAGAGAGAGAGAATCCAGCTGTTGTGTTTGAAGTGAAGGTGGCAAGAAAGATGTTTCTGGCATAGATGAATGCAGAAAGTTGGTGCAAAACTATAATTACACTGGAAGGGAATTCGTGGATATCTGGAATTACTTTTCACTGCACTTACTAGCCACAGAATTTTTCAAACACAGGGAGGCTTTTCATTAGCCTGCCTTATTAAGTTTGGAGGGGATGTGGTGGCTCAGTGGCTAAGATGCTGAGCTTGTCGATCAGAAAGATCAGCAGTTCGGTGGTTCGAATCCCCAGCGCCGGGTAACAGAGTGAGCTCCCATTACTCGTCCCAGCTTCTGCCAACCTACAGTTAGAAAGCACATAAAAATGCAAGTAGAAAAATACGGACCACCTTTGGTGGAAAAGTAAGAGCATTCCATGTGCTTTCGGCGTTGAGTCATGCCAGCCACATGACCACAGAGACATCTTCAGACAGTGCTGGCTCTTCGGCTTTGAAATGGAGATGAGCACTGCCCCCTAGAGTTGGGAAGGACTAACACATATGTGCGAGGGGAATCTTACCACCTTCTAAACCACAATTGTTGAGTGATCCCAACCAAACAGACATGTGGTGGGAATGTGACTATTTGGAAATGGGGGATCCAGCCCCCAGGAAAAGGGGTTTGTTGAAACATTAGTCTCTCTGTCTGTAAATTAGTTAGCTATTTAGCTGATGCAGACTTAAGTGAATTTGATTAGAGTGGAATTTTTTAAAACAGTTGACATAAACTCACAGAAGACTGATATTTGCAATAATAATAATAGTTCTTGCTGGTTAATTGTTCCACCATTTAGTAAAATGAGTTTCCATGAGTGCACGAATAGGTATGATAGATGCTTTTAAGGAAGTGAATATATATTGGGGACATAAATATTTCCTTTACTTGCAAAGGGTTCTTAGATCCTGATGGTTGAAACAGTTTGGGTGCAAAATTAACTGACCCAGAAACTTTACACAATTGCTCCGTAATTGTAATTTTATGATCGTTGTCTATCCTCTGCAATTCCTGGAAATCTACCTTGGTGATATTACCAAATACACACAGCTCTTTGAACTGCAAATGTGGGGTTTCAGTCTGTTGGTAAGAATTACTGTTTCTGTGAAGGAAATAAGTAAGTGTGACCCCTGGCAGAACAAACACTATCATTGGGAGTTTACAGATGTATTTTCTTCTATCTCTAGGATATTACAAGCTTACTTCACACCATCTATGAAGTTGTGGATGCTTCTGTCAATCATTCACCCAACTCGAGTAAAACTTTGAGGGTTAAGCTCACTGTTGCTCCAGATGGGAGCCAAAAGAAGAGAAGCATCATGTTGAACCACACTGGTAAGATTTGATTTGAGCCTTTCTTCCTTCTCCAGACAAAGCAGTGGTGGTTTTCAAAAATTGTTCAAACCTCCTCTGTGGGTGTGGCCTCGTTTGTGGGAGTGGCTTGCCACCCATGTGACCAGATGGGAGTGGCTTGCNTATGTGTATGTATGTATGTATGTATGTATGTATGTATGTATGTATGTATGTACACACACCGTAAAAAGCAATTTACTTGCCTGGTATAGAAGGAATAAGCTTATTTATATGATAGTGTTAAATGAAGTGTGATGTATTCAAGTGATGTTTGTTATATTGCATGCAAACCCATGAAAATACATTCCATTGGGGAGGGGAGGGGTGTGCGGGGTGGTTGAGAAAAAGCTTCTTTGCTCCTTCGGAGTGTTTTAAAATGCTGAATGTTTTCTACTTCCCTTAGCAACTTGAACAAAAAAAAAAATCTGATCTCCTTCTAACCTGAAGAGTCATGAATAGGAAATATTCAAAATGCTTAACTGGGGGACAGATCAGCAATGGATTGAGGTGTCCTGTCCCCTCTCCCCAAAGAATTAAACCAGTGGGAAATTCAATAAGGGGTAACAAAAAAATCAGAAGGAAAGAGCCCCATAAGCAACGTTCACATTCAGTCTACTGTTGTCCCAAGAAGCCATCCATATCAGAAAGGATCCAAGTATCAAATTTTGTCCTCTACGCTGGGATCAACAAGATCAGGGGTCTCTAAACTTAGCAACTTGTAAGGTGTGTGGACTTCAAAATCAGGAATCCCCCAGCCGGGTCTGATGGCTGAGGAATTCTGGGAGTTGAAGTCCATACGTCTTAAAAGTTGCCGAGTTTGGACCAAGTAGAATAAGCTGCCTTGGCCAACTGATCTTGGCCTGTCTTGCCACAGCTGACTTGCCCTGGATAAACTTCAACCCCAAACAGTTCAACACGGGATAACTCAAGAGAGGGACAAGTGATTTGCAGCGGGCCTTATCTTGCTTCAGGTTTGAACCTTCTCAAGTTAGAAGCCCTCAAGGCTGGGGCGAGCTGCCATTCTGCTTGTCCCGCTCTTGAACTATCCCGCAGCGAGTTGCCCCTCTGCAAATTGGCAAGTTGACAAGTTGTCCTAGATGAGGGGTGACAAACTTGATTTCACTGAGGGCCGCATCAGGGTAGTGGGGGGCTAGGGTGGGTGGGACCACCTCGACGTCACTCGTATCAGGGGTGCCTGTGGGGGCCTGAACACTCTGCCACCCAAAACAGGCCCCTGAGCTCCGTTTTCGGCTGCGACAGCTTCCTGCAACCTCTCCCAGCGGAAATGGAGCTCAGGAGGCCTAAACGCGGCCCTCACAAGCTTCGTTTTCACTGGCAGAGGCACCACAGACGGGTTCTTCACTGGTTCCAGGGCAGCCCCGCAGACCAGATCTAAGCATCCTGCAGGCCGGATCCAGCACCTGGGCGTTGAGTTTGACACCTCTGTCCTAGACTTAAGTTTTGAAAATTTTGCCCTGGAAACGCCAGGCTCCAGCTAGCTAGCTAGGGAATTCTGAGATGAGAAGCCAAGTACATTTAGCAATGGGTGGAAACTACCGTAATCAAGGAGAGAAGCATCTTAGAACTAAGGAGAAATTTCCTGACAGTTAGAACAATTAGTCAGCGGAACGACTTGCCTCCAGAAGTTGTGGATGCTCCAACACTGGAAGTTTTTAGGAAGATGTTGGATATTTGTCTGACGTGGTGTAGGGTTTCCTGCCTAAGCAAGGGGGTAGGACTAGAAGACCTCCAAGGTCCCTTCCAACTCTGTTATTCTGTTATCCTAAACTTAAGAGGAAGAAAGGTAGCTTGGCGAACATCCTGAATATAGTTGGTTGGCCTAACTATATTCTATTCTAAGATACTGAAAATACCTTTTAATTTCCTCTTTGGATTTGTCTCCACTCGTTTCTTTTTATGCCTCCTGTTTTGCTTCTCCTTCTAGTTTCCTTCTGGGTTTAGGAGACTTTGACCTACATCGGTTCCTAATCCTCTTGCACTGAGCATTAGAATAACATCTCCTATTTGATGAAAATGCGGAAGTCTTAGCTACTAGAATTCTTCAGGTAATCCAAATATTGGCTAAGCATTTTCAGGTGGCATTGATTTAACACTCTTCTAAGACTTTGGGTTTCTTCTTTTGGCTGCGATACGCAACTTTACTAAGGATAGCTCCCAAATATAAAATGTACCGGAATAAATAAAGAATTCTTCGGCGTGTCAGAAATAAAACTCCACTTTAGATTGTCTAAAGAAAGCACGAAGAGAAAGGCTTTCTCTCGAGATTCGGAATAATGATGACGGTTGCGTTGGCTCATGTCTAAGGGTGATCAAGAAACGTGGGGGTTTTTTCCTCTCATTAAGATAAGAAACTCATTTTCAGTGTATGCTGCTTCAAATTGAAATTGGGGGTTTACATGACTCAATGTCTTACGTACAGAAGAAACGATTTGAACATTTGGAGTGTGCCAAGAAAGAGGTTATGCTTGAAAGAAGGGGACTTGAAAGCATGTCTGTGTTGCTTTGATAAAGGGGGGAAAAACATAGCTGGGTAGAAATCTGTGCTAAAAAAAAAGGCAGCATTCAGGACAATTGTGCTTCAATAAAGTCAGAAAAACATTCACAAAAAAGAAGAAGAGACTTCTGGCGAAAATTAAGAAAGGCTGAATTGTACAGGCTTGCCTAACACTATTAAAAAGAAACCCCGTCAAAAACTGCACCTTTGTTAACCCGATTATACAGATTGTAACGCAGATCAGATCTTTACGAATAGACAGGTCCTTGGTTAGAAACGTGAGAACATCAGATGAACTGCATCTGTTACCCTCACCCAATTCATTTTACACTGTGGCCATTCGGCTGTGCAGTAGTGGTTGAGACGTAAGATACGAAGGTAATGGCTGTATGAGATTCTTTGCCAGATACATTCAGTGGTGACTGATCTGGAAGCCGATCTTAGCAGATCTTCCTTCTGTCAGGTAGATAAGATTGATCATATCTCCTTCCTGGTGAAAGCCTGGAGGCTAACGTCCGCCATGTTTTATGGCTGGAACTTCTATCAATCAGTGCAACGATCTCTTCTGAATCTCTAGACAACTTGCTTGGTTGACTAGACATTTGGGGTTATAAAAGAAGAAACACCTGTGGAATGGACAACTTGCCAAGGCAACGAATGTTGGCCCTGGTGAGTTGGCCTTGATGAATTGGCCATGGAGAGTTGGCTGTGGTGAGTTGGCCATGGTGAGCTAGCCATGGTGAGTTGGCCATGGCATGTTAACTATGGTAAATTGACCATGGTGATTTGACCATGCTGAGTTGGCTATGACAAGTTGGCCATGATGAGTTGACCATGGTGAGTTGGCCATAGTGAGTTGACCATGGTGGGTTAACTATAGTAAGTTGACCATGGTGAGTTGACCATAATGAGTTAACCATGATGAGTTGACCATGATGAGTTGACCATGGCAAGTTAACTATAGTAAATTGTCCATGGTGAGTTGGCCATAGTGAGTTGACCATGGTGAGTTGACCATGATGAGTTGACCATGGCACATTAACTATGGTAAATTGACCATGGTGATTTGACCATGCTGAGTTGGCTATGACAAGTTGGCCATGATGAGTTGACCATGCTGAGTTGGCCATAGTGAGTTGAGCATGGTGGGTTAACTATAGTAAATTGACCATGGTGAGTTGACCATAATGAGTTAACCATGATGAGTTGACCATGGTGAGTTGACCATGGCAAGTTAACAATAGCAAATTGTCCATGGTGAGTTGGCCATAGTGAGTTGACCATGCCGAGTTAACTATAGTAAATTGACCATGGTGAGTTGGCTGTGGTGAGTTGACCATGGTGAGTTAACTATAGTTAATTGACCATGGTGATTTGACCATGCTGAGTTGGCTATGACAAGTTGGCCATGATGAGTTGGCCATAGTGAGTTGACCATGGCAAGTTAACTATAGTAAATTGACCATGGTGAGTTAGCCATGATGAGTTGACCATGGCAAGATGGCCACAGTGAGTTGTCCTAGACTCCACCCCTGCACATCAGTGCACTACATTCCATATGGCCTTTGACATCTTGCGCTGGCTCACCTTTCTGTCCTAAAGAAGCCTCAAAGGGTTTGACTCATCTTTACAGGTATCTTTTCCAGGGCCAATTTCTCTGATTTTTAAAAAGATGGACATTTTATTCTCCCCACCCTATGGCATTCCATGAGCATTTGGCCCTGGATCACTACAGAGCTAAGTTTTCAAAACATCTAAAGTGAACGTTGAAGGAAAGGAGGAAAGAGGGATGCACAGAATTATCAATATTGACTGAGCATTCTTACTTTGGTTCATTTTCACAGCTCCAAAATATATGCAGCTTCTGTTTTGTGGAATGCAAGTAACTATTGATGATACATTTTTCTTTTAAAAAAAAACCAGTTATGTAAAAATATGCAGTATTTAAATACTCTGGCATTTGTATTACGTGTGTTCAACGTGAATAGTGGATCATGTCATGCAACACAGGATTTTTTTTTGTTCTCGATTAATTTTTATCTAAAGTCTCTATACCATTTTTGTAAAAAAAAAGGAAAAAGAAACAAAAAGTTTGCTTTTCGATATTTTGTATAGTTAATATAGATGGTTTTGACTAAATGCTTTATTTATTTAATAGCAAAACTGTGCCAAGAGATACCCCTGTTAATTAAAAAAAAATTACTAGTTCAGATGTACAGATATCTCATTTCTTTTTTTGAAGTTTGGCTGACTGTGTCTTTGTTTCTTGTTTCTCCGCTCTCCTGAATTCCTTCTTCACAAAAACAAAAGAATTTCTTCTGTTCCCATTTCCTGAGAAACACTATTGGCACAATTCGGGGTAAGGGGTAGTCTTGGGACATTGGACTGGTAGTTGAAAACAACACAAATTTGCTTCAGATAAATTAACCCAAGGATTTAATCTAACACTTCAAAGAATCCAGCCTTAAGGGCTTTCAAAGGCAAATGTTTCAAATCTCTTGAAACAATCTTCTTCTTCTTCTTCTTCTTCTTCTTCTTCTTCTTCTTCTTCTTCTTCTTCTTCTTCTTCTTCTTCTTCTTCTTCTTCTTCTTCNAATAGGAGCATGATAGTGTAGAATAATCATATCCAAGGACCAGTGGTGGGTTTCAAAACAGTTTGGAAGCTCTTCTGTAGGTGTGGCCTGCTTTCTGGGTCCACTGGTGGAACCTCTTCTAACCGGTTCGGTAGATTTGACGAAGCGGTTCTACCGAAGAGGTGCGAACTGGTAGGAACCCACCTCTGAGACAAAGTATCATAAGTTATTTCCTTACACCGGGAGAAACGCTTAAGCTGTGTTTGCACGTTTGCACCAAGCCATAGTAAGATTTGTTCATTTCGGATTTAGAGCAACATGGGTTTTTTTTTTTACAAGCTAAGACATAATGGTTCGTTGAAGACACTATGGGTTAATCAATGTTGGCTTAATGTGATGTAGAATGGCAACCTTTCAAGGAATTTAATAATTGAAATAGTGCATGACAAAGTTTCCTTAGTGAAATGGACTGAGAAATGTGAAGTGAAATACTGCATTCAGTTTTGGTCATCAAAATGTAAAAAAGATGTGGAGACTCTAGAAAGAGTGCAGAGAAGAGCAACAAAGAGGATTAGGGGACTGGAGGCTGAAAGATATGAAGAACAGTTGCAGGAGTTGGGTAGGTCTAGTTTAATGAAAAGAAAGACCAGAGGAGACATGATAGCAGGCTTCCAATATCTCAGGGGCTGCCCCAAAGAAGAGGAAGCCAACCTATTCTCCAAAGCACCTGAGGATAGGAAGCAATGGGTGAAAACTAATGAAGGAGAGAAGCAACTTAGAACTAAGGAAGACCTCCAAGGTCCCTTCCAATTCTGTTATTCCATTTTATTCTCCATTGCAGTCAGTCTGGTTGAATATAGATGTACCGTGCCAGAAAATCAATAAGAAGAGAGGAAATAACCATCTCGCTCCCTCCCTTCCTTCTCCTCCTCCTCCTCCCTCCCTCCCTCTCTCTCTCTCTCCCTCTCTTTCTCTTGTGAAAGCAGATCTTCAAAGCTCAAGGCATCGAGCAGAGAGCAAAGCTGGTGAAGAAGCTAGAAGTTGTGACAAGAAGCCAAGGGGTTCCCTCAGGTAAACTGGAACAAAATATTTTATCTCTCTCTGGGGAGATGCCATGCTAGGTAGCCTTGGATTTAAGCATTCAGTTTAGCACTTCTGGAAACAATGCTACGCCCAAGAGATGTTTCTCCTTCTAATTTTCTAAATTAAAAGTCTGTGTCACCAAGGTAACTCTAGATTGTCAAGGTATCTCCCAGCCCTTTTTCCACCAATACTTTCAGTTGGAGGTGTCAGAAATTGAAAGTAAAGTTTTCTGCATCCTGTAATTTGGGAATAGGTACCACCATGGAGAATCCAAGCCTGATCCGAATGGATGCTACCATCACTGCGTTGATGAAAACATTGAAAGGAGGAACCACTATTTAGATCTCGCAGGAATAGAAAACTACACCTCGAAGTTCGGGCCAGGTATGTTGTACCCATGCCTTGCAATTCATTCCCGATCCTGTTATCTTTTGAAATGGGGCCGTCTTGTTTACGTGGATAGTGGGGCATGCTGAGTATCCAGAGATCAGGATGAGACTTGCAGCCATGGTCCCGGAAAGGGCTGAAACAGATGAAGTGTGGAGGTATCAGCTCGTAAGGACAGCTTTGATTACCTGTTGTTTTCCAGAAAGGTTTTGTAGAGAGCGTAGAGAAAGGAAGAACAACTATGAAGGAAATGGTTAGATAAACGGGGCTTGATCCTGGTCCAAAAAACTGAGGAAACTTCTCAGGCAAGGCCTTCCCTAGTTCCAATGAAGGTAAAATGAAGGAGGCATCCCTGTGGATTTTACTAGTTGTTGTCAACTAGTGGCGCTCAACTCCACTTCAAGGCCACTGTCCAGAGACATTTCCATGCTCATGTAGCTAGCATGACATCACAGAGAGCTGTTGTCCTCTCACCAAAGTGGTACCTATTTATCTACTCGCATTTGCATGCTTTCCAACTGCCTCTGTGTCCTAGTTAGCATATTTAAGAAGCTTTGGATCAGCAGAGTAAGGGGACTGTTGCGGTTTTTTGGGGGAAGGGGCGCTACTCAATTCTTAGTATTACTAGAAGGAGCATGACACCTGCTACAAGAGGTGTTAAGTGTGAGGAACAGTGTTAAGTCGAGGACAACCTGTGGTGTGGTGTTCTAAGCAAAATTTGTTTAAATGAGGTTAGTTAAATGAAGTACTTTTTAACTTGCCCTTGATCAAAATATTTACATTTCAAGTAATAGACATCTATTTATTTTCTGTTAAACTACCCTGTGACTCTGTGTAGAAGTGATTGTTAGAAGTGTAGTGTTTTGCCTCCCCATGCCTTTTCCTGTCTACATCTTCCATCTTCAGTCCACAACAAAGACTAAATGAACACAATTTATCTCTCTTTAATAATGGTAAAATTGTTATATATTAAGAGCCGAGGTGGCACAGTGGTTAGAATGTAGTACTGCAGGCTATTTCTGCTGGCTGCCTGCGGACTGCAATTTGGCAGTTCAAATCTCACCAGGCTTAAGGTTGACTCACCCTTCCTTCCATCCTTCAGAGGTGGGTAAAATGAGGACCCAGATTGTTGGGGGCAAGAGGCTGACTCTGTAAACTGCTTAGAGAGGGCTGTAAAGCACTGTGAAGCGGTATATAAGTCTAAGAGCTATTGCTATTCCTCCGTTCCTCCTCCTTCCTCTCCTCCCTTCCTCCCTTCCTTCATGGAACAATGGATAGAATGCAGTATTGGCAGGCTACCTCTGCCCACAGCCAGGAGTTTAATCCTGACCAGCTCAAGGCTGAACTCAGCCTTCCATCTTTCTGAGGTTGTTAAAATGAGGACCCAGATTGTTGGGGGCAAGAAGCTGACTCTGTAAACCGCTTAGAGAGGGTTGTAAAGCATTGTAAAGCAGTACATAAGTCTAAGTGCTATTGCTATTGCTATTTGCAGCAGGATTCATTAAGGCAGCCACCAATGTCTGTTAAATCAGAGGGGACATTTGCTCAGGTTGCTCTGCAATTTTTAAGTGATCTTTTCTTGTTTCTTAGGCTCTCCGCCGATCGCTCAGAAGCACAACCCAACCGTTCGGGTTGCCAATCAAGCAAGATCCCGTTCCCATGAGCCAGAGGCCTTCCACGCCCACCAGCGGAGGTCCCCTGTGGTGGATCCTGCCCATATCAATTTGGTGGAAGCTTCGTACGCCAAGCTGGCCGAAATCCAGCAGAGGCTGCGAAGTCAAGAGGCCAGCAGGCATTTTGTGAAGTCTCCCAAGACTCAAAGCAAAAACACGGCTTCCGGTCACGCCGGAAGGGCGATGAGAGGTAAACCCATCCAAGGAGTACCGCTTCCCATGGCTTCTCCTACTGCGCGGATAGGCCAGAACCTACCTTACCACCCCATGCAGTCCCAGCAGACTTATAAGAAGCACAAGCAGAGGGGGAAAGAGACTCACCAAGTGTGCAAAAGCTTCCCAGCTGCTCCTGGGACAGTGGTGGAAAAAGAGCACGTCAGAGATCTGCCTGCGGTCATCTTGTACGAAGGCCAACTCGGGCAGGTGATCCAGAGACACGAGCATCACCACCATCACGAACACCATCATCACTATCACCACTTCTACCAGACATGAAATGGACTTCCTCCTTCTCCGCCTCTTGGGAAGTTCTCCCACACTATGAAGGAAGGCATGTTATGGCCTCTTGGGTGGGGGGGGAAAAAGATTGGTGTTGTCCTTATTCATGTTAGTATTGTTGCTATCACATTTAATATTCTGCTAAAGCTATTTTAGAACTTGTATGAAAAACACTAAAAAAAAAATTATAATGGTGATGATGATGATGATAATAACCTAACATTATTTATATTATGTGGAACTGTATCGCTTACTTTAATAACTTGTGGTTCTTATTATTTTGGAAAGAATTGGCTTGTTCAACACACACACATCTAAGAAAACAGCCATAGATATCCTTATGGGAAACTTCCCATGAATGCTTTGTGTATTCAGAGAACACACATGAAAGGGTGCATGGAACTAGTCCCAGAAATGTGCACCTCAAATGTCATCGGAACTTTGTGAGAAGTTCTCCGTGGTCCTGCGTGAAGACTTCTTACATTCAAGGAGAACTTCATGGTGCCTCCTTGAGCGTAGGTGTTCTCTTAAGCAAAACTCTGGAGAACTTCCTACTGATGGGTGTTAAGAGGGGAGTGGGATTCTGCTGGTGGAAATCTGTAGTTGAACATACACCTTGGCTCATTCAAAGCCCTCTGGGATGAGTTCTTTTTAAAACCTTAAACACTGAAGCAAGCTTCCCTTTGTGATATTGGAAAAGAGGCTTTGAATGAATGGTTAGATACTCTGTTTTCCCAAAAATAAGACCTCTCTGGATAATAAGCCCTGTTGGGCTTTTGAGCACATGTGCTAAAATAAGCTGTCCCCCAAAACTAAGCCCTCCCCCAAAATACTGCAACACAGCAGCAGCCATGAGGTGACCACGCTCACCGCCTCCTGCACCTCAAAAATAAAGAGACCTCCCCCAAAATAAGGCCAGGTGCTTATTTTGGGGCTCAAAAGCAAATAAGGCCCTGTCTTGTTTTCAGGGAAACACGGTACCCAGTTTATTGCACAGGTTGGCTCACATCATGCAAACCTGCCATGCAAAATAGTTGCTACCTCTTGGATAATTCAAAACTTCTTATTTGATTGAATGTGCTGCCAGAAAAGGAAGGAAGGAGTGATGGAACCAGGGAAGGAATTTTTTTTTTTTACTTGATTGCATTCATGTAGCCTGCTCCTCTTTTTGCTCCTCATCACTTTGTTAGCTATCCCTCCCTACTAGTGATGAGGAAATGGTTCGTGTTGCTCGTCGAAAAAAAGCTATGATGTCCACACTTTTTTTTAAATTTCCGTTATTTTTTTAATGGCCGCCTTTATACGTTTTTAAACATCTTTTTGTTTTTGTTTTTTGCCACATTGGAAAACTGTGAGAACAAATGTACTCTGTGACCTTTAGATTAGAAGGTCTGTAAGGATTCATGGTGTTCAGGCAATAGAAAAGCACGGTCAATCTTGGATTATTTGCATCTCTACTGCTTGTCACTACTAATAATAGCTAGTGAGGGGTTTCTGGCATCTTACGGTACTTATGGTTTAGGAAAGCATATACCGTATTTTTCAGACTATAAGATGCACCTTTTTGTCTCCCAAAAGGGGGTGAAAATGTCTGTGCGTCTTATGGACCGAGTATTGCTGAAGCCTTGCCCACCCATCGACCATTTTTTGGCCTCTGCCTTTTTTTTTCCAGCCCATTTCCAAGGCTTTTTTCAGCCCATTTTTGAGGCTTTTGTGGGGCTGTTTTTTCCAAAAAAGGCCCCCCAAAGCCTCAAAAATGTCCTGAAAAAAGCCTCAAAAACAGGGCCTCAAAACAGCCCGAAAAAGCCTCAAAAATAGCTTGAAAAAAGCCTAGAAAATGGGTAGAAAAAGGACTGAAAAAAGCCCTCCAAAAGGGCTGAAAATGCAGGGTGCCAAAACCGTTTTTTTGTTGTTGTTTTCCTCTTCTAAGTTTAGGTGCGTCTTATAGTCAGATGTGTCTTATAATCCGAAAAATACGGTATGTAGCTCAGTATTGAACTGTGGGGTCCTTGGTGGTCTCTGAGCTCAGTCATCTCCAAGGATTTCATGGTTCTTATGGTACTAGAAGGCCAGTGGCCTTCCTTTTCAGATCATATTCTGACATGACATCAAGAAGTCTTAGTTTCAGAGAACTCATGCTGGTCTTTTCAAAGTTCTACCCAACTACCATATTCTCAAATGAGACTGAAGATCAGAGTCGAAATGACCAGAGGACTTTCTTGAGGTTTGTTATAAAGATTAATAGTGTATTTATAGTCAACAAATGATCAGATTCACAAGCATCCTGTCTTAGGCCATAATCCAACAGATCATGATTTAGGAGTCTTCTCCACCCAACTACTATTCTATGTTCTACTGTTCTTATTCCACTTGGGAAACAAAGTAAGGCTGTGTGACAAAGCGCCTACTATACATTCTTTTCTCACAACTAATCTTTTGAGAGTCCCATGGCGGTCCTAAAGGAAGAGCCAACATCACCTCTTCTTCTCCCGCTATAAGAGTAGAAGCAGAGTAGCTGAAAGGGAAACGGAATTAAGCCTGACCCCCAAATTACACAAGAGCCTTTTTGTTTTGTGTTGTTTTGTGTTGAGTTTTACAAGACAGTTGAAAGGGGGCGTTGGATTCCTCTCCTCCTCCTCCTCCTCCTCCTCCTCCTCCTCC